GGGAAGCAGCAGTTCCCCCTGTGTTGTTCCAGCAGAGTATGAGCATGACATTGATATCCCCCCCCCCCAACTTTGGGAATGGCCTAAAGACACTTCAGTCAGTGGCACTACCCTGGGGGGGGGGCTTAAAATAGAACTTATTTGAACATCTTTCATTATATATAGAGACTTAGTTGTGTTTTAAAAAGTCTGAAACTTATAAAGGTTGACAACAATATGCATACTATAAAACTTGCAAATTCGAGTTTCTTTTTGTGTATAATTTGTTCGAAATGTGAGATAACATTGCATTTCGTCTGTTGAGCGTCGGGCTTAATAATGTGCCATGCTACGTCTTAAAGAGTGAATACATTGAGCCCTGTACTATTGTCCCTAGTTATATAACAATCAAAGTTGTGTATCTGTGGCGTCCGGAGCCGTTCTACATACATTAGAATTTTATCACGAAAGAAAGGTATTGACTAAAAGACACACAAATATTTACAAATAATGTGCACTATATATATTGCCCTATTACTTAACTTACAATCCCATTTCGCGGTAATTTGGAAAATTAAATTCAAATCTTAGCATAGAACACTCGATTCGGGTGACGTGAAAATATAAGTTAAACAATCGATAAAAGTAAGATTGTCATGATTTTAGGAAGCTCTATTCCGGGCTGCGTTATTCGCCACTCTCCATTCCCTGTTGTCGTATTTCCTCATGTGCTCAGGGGTGCCCCCCCCCCACCCTTTTCTGTGTGCTTATGGGTGTGTGTGTGTGTCAGGCGCGGTTCGTCCATAGAGCACGGTCGTGCAGTGCCGCCCAATTTTTTAAAATGTTCTATTACGTAAAACACCCACAATATTAAAATAAAAGAAGCCAGAAACAAACACGAGCCAAATATTATATAAAAACAAGGTCCTCAATGGCGCCATAACTGCATCTATAATGTCATGCCAAAGTCCACGCGCTTTAGCTTAACATAACAAGATATTCAACAGTGTAACCTGACCTCTAAGACGGCACATCTCAAATGTGCTCCTGCCGAACAGAGCAGAAATATTGCCCACAGTAGGAAGTCTAAAAATAAACGCGATAGACCGTAAACTATTCTCTGCCAATATTATGTGGGCCCTGGTGTAATCCATGGAGTGCTCAAATGAATTGTGATTGGTTCATTGTCTCTTTTGCCACTATTTTAAGTGACTCTGTGGCCGTGAACCTGAGTGAGGTGAACGTGACCGTCCTATGAGATGAGCCTTTGAATGGTTTTGTTGTGTAGTGGTGAATGTTATTACTTGAGAGTTAAATTCTAATGCAGGATGAACGAAATTGGTATTTAGCTAACAAACAAATTTAGTAGGCCTACTAGAAATCAAAGCGACAAGTAAAAAGAATGAAAATAAAAGCACGAGGTCCTTCTTCACCAACCCAAAGATCCTAAAATTAGGCTATGCACCGTCTCATTTACTATGCCCTTGACTATTTTCAGCATGCGATAGCTTAATTGTGCACGTCCACTTTTTAGCCCCACGAGCCGCCCCTGGTGTGTGTGTGTGTGTGTGTGTGT